GGGGGAGGAGGGGGCATGGGGCCCCACATTCCTGGCTGCGGGAGGGGAGCGAGATTCCCTTCTAATCGGCGGGCTGGTCCGTCTGGATGGCTGGGGCTCGGCCCGCCCCTCTCAGCACACTCACGCACGCGCACACACACACACACACACACACAGTCACACTCACAGTCACTCACACTCACACACGCTTAGTCACTCACTCCCAAACACGCAATACCATCTGAATTTGCGCCATCCGATTTCTCGGTATTATTATTCTTGTTCCTCAGTCGACTAGTAATGCAAGGTAGGAGTGGGGTGGGAGTGTTTTTGTCTGCTAACACTTTCTTTGCGGCATATGACCACTATGTGCTCATGCTCTAATGTTAAAGCATAGGGACCAAAAATGAGCCGCAAGACATGGATTAATATACAAATTAAGTTTGCAACACACAGTGGAAACTCAAAAAGAACTTGTAAAGTCGGAAGTGTCAAGTTGAGGTATATCTGCCGAGTACAAACTGCCGGCCCCTGTGAGCGGGTGCACCGTCACGACGGCCGTGAGGACGAGGGCCGAGTGGTGCGCGATAGCGGGGGGCTCGGCGATAAGGAGGGTCGGACGCCTGGAATGAGGCCGCCGATGGGCGGAGTCCGCGGCCGGCGCGGCCTCCACGGCGGCGTCCTAGCGGCGCCTCCCCGGCTCACCTCCGACAAATAAGATTCCGTCGAAGCGTCCAATAACATTTGCGACTAATTGATTAGTTATCGCGAGTCTGCAAGTATAGGGCTGCACTGCATGCACAGCCAGATTTTGATTTCGCGATATGACATCGACCAACCACCAACCATCATCGACTCGATGCATCTCGGCCCGAAAATTATCGAGTGATATCGCAATATCGAACCATATCGAGGACCAATATTTCTGAAAATGGCCGATCGATTGCGATATATCGTAGTATCGAGCGAGAGCGAACCATGTCGAGGAACGACATGTCTGAAAATGGACGATATATCATAAAAACGAGCAATCTCGATATTTCAATATCGTATCGAACGATACCAAGAAACGACATGTCTTAGAATATCCAATATATTGCGATACACCGTAGTATCGAGCAATCTCAATGTTTCGATATCGAAACCGGGACAATTTCGAACCCCGTCGATATTGAAATGATATCGAAGTCACTCTCAGCTTACCTTCCGTCGGGCCCGCCTGGCGAGGGGGCGGTGCAGCTGGATGCGCAGGCGGAAGGTGCGACGGCCATGCTGCAGGTGCGGGTGCGAGCCGTGCAGGTGCGGGCGCGGGTGCACCTGCAGGTGCGGGCGCGGGTGGTGCGGGCGCGTGTACGTCACCACGGGGTGCAGGTAGTGCGCGGCGCGGCCGCCCCCGCCGCCGCCCCCGGGGTCGGACTCGCACCGCCACGACCCCTCCGACTGCAGCGAGCCGTGCGACCAGCTGCGCGAGCGGTGCGCGGGGGCGCGGGCCGCGGGGACGCGGGGCAGGGTGCGCGGGGAGCGCGAGGGCGCGGGCGGCGGCCGGGCGGGGCCGACAATGATGTCGGTCAGGTGGCCGTTCATGTACACAAAGGTCGTCATCCTGACGGGTCCTGACGGGCCGCCCCTCTGCTGCACGCCGCGCGTTCCAACGACAAGAAAAAAGTAAATATAAACCAATCGAGAGCGAACCACGTCAGGAACAGGCGAATCCAAAACCTATACGAAAAAAGAGGCCTGCCTCTTAGCCATGTGGGCCTGTCAATGCCGTTGTTGTTATGCCATCGTGATCGTGGTGATCTGATTTTCGGCAAGTTATGGCAGTAGGCTGGAATTGCCAAGCCCACATGAAAAAAGAGAAACATACTGTGCCACTCTCTGATGCTGCTGCCGTTGTTGTTGTTGCTTTAATATTTCATAGACGGGGGGCGGGCTAAAGAACACACTGCACTGGTCCGAGCGAGCAAGACTGCATGGTGTTTGGTTTAGCAGCTGGCGTGAGACAAATCCCACGGCATCTCCGCTTGTATCCCAAACTGGGGGCTCTAGGCTCTGACACTATCACACTTGCCCCTCGCGCACACAATATCCGCCCTAATCGAGCACTTCTGACGAACGTTTCTTAGCAGGAACTTTATTTTAAAATATTTGACGGTTGTCATCAACTAAAAATAAGGGGACGAATCGTGTCTCCAAAACGAACAGTTGAAAAACATCTACCCGGTTCCCGGTTGACACGACACACAGCGTGTGTCTCGTAAGAGGTTTACATTATTAAGGTTAGTCCGAATTTTACATTTTACATCAAGGTCTTCTTAAAGCATCAAGCCTGAGACAGTTTTTAGCTTCCTTGTACATTGATTGGAAACAAATTTGTGTGGTCGAAGACACACTTGAAGACTACAGATTGTCTACTCTGAAGACACTCTGTCTCATGGACGACTGCATGTGCTAAAAACTCGCAAAAAATCTCACCGTCTGTGACCGCCGTTTTGGGCGTGTAAAATGTCAAGCAAATATACGCCCGTAAATTCAAGTGATTTCGCAAGTCTGAAATCCGACGTGGTTTCTCGCCTTGGTTCCAGCGCCCCATGGCAGGCCGCGGTGCTTTAGGCCGGAAGCCCGCTCCAATGCGTCACGCGGCGGCTGGCGGCCATAGCGGTGACCCCTGGCCAGGACCAGCCGCGGTAGGCCAGGCGAAGCAGACCACGGCGGACAAACCACCCCCAACACACCAAAGTATTGCATAAGACTTGCAGAGTTTTAGGAAGCTACATGGGCCGCAAAATTTCATTCATACACTGAGAAATTTTTTTCCCGCCACTAAAACTACTGTGCGTGGCAACAAAATTTTAAAGCTCGGCAACAAAACTTCGGTGCCCAGGCACAACTGTATAGTACGTTGAAAACTTTCGGTCTCGGGGCAAATTGTTTAGTGAACAGGGCCAAAAATATTTCTCAGTTTAGTACACAATTTTTGTGCAATGAGCAAGTTTGGCATAAAATGCGTGCACACTGTTATAAAATCTGTTTATTGAGAAGATCCGTCAAAATCTGAGGCGAGATCGGAGGAGTTTGGGAGTGACTCAAAGTTTTCTCCCTTTCCTTAAAAAATAAGACATCATTACCGTGCCCGGTGCGGCTATCTAGTTTTGTCTGTCTAGCAAACATTTTCTATGTGATTTAGGTGTACCGGGTTTAACTGTGAGTAGGTAGCAGTGTTGCGGGATTGAATACTCAACATAGCCTCAGGGGCCATGACCCCTTACGGCTGTAGGCAAACCCGCAACACTACTGCGTATTCACAGTCACAGTTACGCCCGACACAAATACACATAACGTAGGTACGAAATTGCCCCCCTCTCATTGAGAGCGTGGTGCATAATGCACGTAATGTAGGACAACTACTACTTTGTCCACGTCTGGAAGGGGGCGTGGCGTGGAGCACTCATAGCAGAAGCAGCAGCGGTATGCAGAAGCGCTCTCAAGCAAAGCAGTGAGGTCTTTTTGTTCGAGCAGGGCGTGGCCCCGTGATGGCCCCGCTCATGCTACTACCGGTCCACCCCGCCCCGAGCCCGAGGGGTTTTCATCGCCGTAAAAACAAGAATTTTCTCCGAATTTCACCACTCTTCCAGTAACAGCACTATGGAAATTATTATGAAGTTTCACGTCTCTTTTTGTTTTGCCCGTTTTTAGAGTATAACGACGTATCTCTTTGAAACAGTCCTTCAAGAGCTGGTGTTCCAGCTTTTGCATTTCCGCTTGCAGTTCCTTCCATACTGCAATTTTCTATAATATTTTGCAGCAGAAAGGAAACGTGCAAAAATTGAATAACATTTATTGGTTAATTTATTTAGAACCACGCTAACGTCTTTGCCGCTTGTCGAATGATGCACTATCCAGAATAACTCACGAATATCCACCATTTCTGAGCGAACTTCCCCAAGCCTCTCTGCTCCTTTCTCCTTCCCTTCCCCTCGCCCTTTCCCCGTTCCAACCCTGTGCAAAACAGGACAACGCCTTCAGACACCTCGGTCAGATGGGTCAGATGGAATGGCGCACACCGTCGAACTCTCGTGCCTCGGGCCTCAGGCTGGCCAAATACCCCCCCCCCCCATCCCCTCTCTCTCTGTCTCGCACGCGCGTCCGAACTCCGAACGTTTACCAAACGGACAAACAAGAGGTCTCAAGGAGACAGGGAACACACCTGCCGTTCAAATAGTGCAAATATTTCACGTGCACTGAAAAATCTGGGAACACTGTTACAATATTTACAAATTAGCCACAAACAGGAGTTTGTCTACGCACTTTTACATTTCCTGAAATTGAAAAGAAGTTTAAAATTTAAATGTTTACAAAGTTAAAAATAGGGGAATGAAATAAGTCTGTTTTACAAAAATTGGCAAGAAAGGGAAACGGTTGGCTCTTTTTGTCCCACGTGGGACAGAAAATATACATCCAAGGGAGAGCGCGAGGGAGAGGGCGAGAGCGGGAGACAGAGAGAGAGAGAGAGAGAGAGAGAGAGAGTGGAGGAGGATGATACCAGGAGGATAAGTCAAGGATCGGGCTGGCTGAGAGAGAGAGAGAGAGAGAGAAAGAGAGAGAGAGAGAAAGAGAGAGAGAGAGAGAGAGAGAAGAGGTGCGCTGCTGCTGCGGCCTGGTTGGCGTCGTCGGGCGGGACCCCCTGTGGGGTAGGCAGCCCGGTCGCACCCCTGTCGCGCGGTACAGCGTCTCAGTCTCCATCCACGGCGGCACCCGCCCCGTGCGGTGCGTTTGGCAGACTTACTACACCTACTCGTCGGGTTGGGGTTTGTTTAGCGTACGCGGGATCATGAATTGCACCACCGATCTATATAGCGCGTGCGGTAACACGCCCTGCAGCCAGCCGCGGCGCAGAGAACGTCGTCATGTTCACGCAGTGACAGTCGTATAGAAAAGAGGCGGGCAGAAAGCAGTGTGTGTGTGCGTGTGCGTGCGCGCGCTAGCCGCGACAGAGGCACACACACACACACACACACACACACAGAGCGCTGGATTAGGCGCACAAAAAGCTCCGCCGGGCCGCTGCCCGTGGAGAGCGACATGCAGCCAGGCGGACCACATTATGTCGGGAGGAAAGCGAGCATGGCAGTCACGTGACCGTGGGTACCAACTGTGACGCGGCGGGGCGAGGCGGGGCGGGGCGGGCCGTTCCTCTGTCGCACTGGACCAGCTCCTCTCCTCCCGCCGCGCCCTCTCCTCTCCTCCATGTCTGCGAGTTGTACACAGGAGCCATGCGCAAAAGTCACTTCCAGGGGGCCGCGGCGGGTACTTGTTGTACGTCTCCTGCTTTTTAGTTGAAGGCCAAATGGTACGGTATGAAGGAGCTACAATGATATATACACTGCTCTAAACTGGGAAAGGCAAAACTTTGTTACTTATTGGGAACATATTATTTATTGAGCATATTCAGACCAGATGCAATCAAATTTGTGGCCGATATGGGGAAAAAATATGTGAAAGTCATTCATTTTGCTCCATTTTGTTTTAAACACAAATTTTTCCTCAGTCAGTTGAGAGTGTGCAGCCGGTTTTCTAGCCGCTACTTTATATCGCTGAGCAAACGACTGAAGCAAACTGAAGCAACAACTTGACTTGGCACTTGGCACTCTTCATACTATTTGTAAAGATCCGAACGCAAAAAACAAAAAAAAATAAAAATAAACAAAAAACAAACTACACATGGTGACGAAAGACCGAGAGCCATGGTCATGGTCGCTTTTTGATACCAACAAGTTTTAGCAGTTAAAATAGAAACACGCTCGTAAGATTTTGTTCCGAAGGGGATGCTGCCACGGCAGGTTTTCACGACAGTGCCACTGCTTCGCTACCGCGCCCAGACTCGCGGATATAACCTTCGACAAAACGCCGTTGTTCCGCCAAGTTGAAAGCCCCCCCCCCCCCCCTCCCTCTTCCTCCACCTCCACGAAAATGCTTGCGAAATGGCCGGATCTGCGGCCCACGCTGTGCGTTTGTGCTGCCGGTGCGCCATCGCCGCGCCAGCCTCCACCTTCGATTCTGTCCCCTTCTTCCTCTGTCGCGGCCACCGCCCCGCCCCGCCCCGCCCCGCCACGCCCCGCCACGCCACGCCCTGCCACGGCACGCCGCGCCGTTTTGCAGTGTGTGGAATGATGTAAGAAGAGGCCTGCCAATAGTGGGATGTCGACGCGGGATGGCACACGGATGAGACATCATGCCGCACTGGAGGTGGACAGGAACAACATGCACGTGGGCTGAGCACACACACACACACACACACACAGGCACTTACACACTTACAAACATACACACACTTACACACACACAGCCACGGAACATTAGCACACAGGAGCCAACGCCACGAGTGGACAGAGAGAAGTGGGGACGAATATCGATGATGAGATATGTACTCACAGAACAGTCTCTCTCTCTCTCTCTCTCTCTCTCTCTCTCTCTCTCTCTCTCTCTCTCTCTCTCTCTCTC